GCTCTGAGCATTGCCCATGTCTCCGACTAGCACTGGCACCCGTCACGAGAAGCACCGCCCAGACCTGTGTCACTGAGCCACCAACTCACTGCTCAAGAGCAGACTTCCAATGGCCAAATCTGGGACAATTTGAACAACATTGTGATAATAACAGATTACAACTCAAAGCATAAAAGAAATATCCATGCATCCATACAGCTATAAATAAACAATCAAATAAGGAAAGAAATGAGGGAGAAGGGAAGACTCTTCCTTACAGCAGAATTCCAGTGGATAAGTCTAGAAGGGATGAAGAAATAGAAAAATCACCATTTGGTAAACACTCGTAATTAGATTTCCGGCCAGAATCATCAATGGATGTTAAAATTGTTGTTGATGTTAAAAGTGTGCTGCTGAATCAATTCCGACTCATAGAGACCCCATGTGACAGAGCAGAACTGCCCCATAGGGTTTTCTGGGCTGTAATCTTTATGGAAACAGATTGCCAGGACTTTCTCCCACGGAGCCGCTGGGTGGGTTCAAACCGCCAACCTTTTGACTGGCATCCAAGTGCTTAACCATTTGTGCCACCAGGGTTCTTAATGAGTGAAAATATGATGAAAAGCAGGATATTTACGTGGTCTCAAAGTATCGCCCCACAAAATACTTATTAATGACAAAAGGAAAGAGTTTAACGTGGAGAAACCCAGCAGACATCACCTCAACCAAGTGATCAAATGATCTCCAGAAATGAGATGCACGGACACCACGTGTCTCCTGATACGATGCATCGCTTTTATGGTTTATTCCCCACACCTGAGTAGTCTGGATGTGATCATGGGGAAACATCAGGCAAACCCAACTGAGAGACATTCTTTGAAGCAACCTGGCCTCTAACTTTTGAAAACATCCAGGTCATGAAGGACAGAGACACCGAGGAACTGTCTGGCATTAAAGGTGATTAAAGAGACACGTCTGAACTGTGGTGTTGGCGAAGAATAATGAAGATCCATGGACTGCCAGAAGAATGAACAAATCTGTCTTAGAAGAAATACAACCAGTATGCTCCTTAGAAGACGGCAAGACTTCAGCTCACTTACTTTGGACACATCATCAGGAAAGACCAATAGCCAGAGAAGGACATCATGTTTGGTAAAGCAGAGGGTCAGTGAAAACCAGGGAAACCCTCAATGAGATGGACAGACACACAGCCACAACAATGGACTCAAGCATACCAATGCATGAAGATGGTGCAGGGCAGGGCAATGGCTTGTTCTATGATGCATAAGGTCACCATGAGTAAGAGCTGACTTGATTCCAACTAATAACAATAGAGACATGACAGCTAAATGCACTGTGTGATCCTGAACCAAGAAAAAACCAACCAAGACCTTAATGGGCAACCAACAACATTTAATAAGATCTGTAGTTTACTTGCTAGTGTTGTATCAGAGTACCATTATATAAGATGTTAACGAGCCCTGGTGGCACAGGTTAAGCGCTCAGCTGCTAACCAAAAGGTTGGTGGTTGGAACCCACCAGCCGCTCTGGGGGAGAAAGATGTGGCCGTCTGCTTCCGTAAAGATTACAGCCTGGGAAACCTTATGGGGCAGTTCTGCTCTCTCCTACAGGGTCGCTGTGAGTCAGAATCGTCTCGACGGCAACGGGTTTGGTTCTGTGTTTTTTTTAGATGTTAACGTTTGCGGGTAAAGGGTATATAGGAATTCTTTGTACTATTTTTGCAGCTCTGAAATTCTTTAAAAGTAGAAAGTTAAAAAATAAAAAAAATGTATATATTTTTTCAAAAGAAAAGCCCCAGATTTGCTGTCTTGGGAAGGCTATGAACGTTCTGAAACAGGAGTTCTCTGAAGGCTGGGACACCTTCTCAGTCAGCAACACACGGGCTCCAGCTCAAGCAGAAGGTTCTGAAAGCGTGAGTGTGCAGTAAGTATTCACGGGCTTCATTTGACCAGGACATGGGAGAGGCAGCAGGATTCACAGGTGGAATGTCTGCGGAGGGTTCTGTGCTCAGCAAACATTTACCGCCTACCTGTTATATGCTGGCTGTTGCAGACACGGAAATGAGAGAAAGGCCCAGCGCCTGCTGGGAAGCAGGCGTGAAAAGAGGTAAAATGGGCAAAAGATCTGCAGAGACACCTCCCCAAAGAAGATCTACAGATGGTACGTAAGCATATGAAGAAGATGCTCAACATCCTGTGTCGTGAGGGAACTGCAAATGAGAACAATGAGATACTACTACAGACATATCAGAATGGCCAAACTCAAAAACAGTGACAACATCTAGTGCCGACGAGGCTGTGGAGCAACAGGAACCTCATTCACTGCTGGTGGGAACGCAGGACAGTACAACCACCTGGGGAGACAGTCTGGCAGTTTCTCACAAAACTACACACAGGCTTACCAGCCAACCCAGGAATCGTGCCCCCGGCTACGTACCAGACGAGATGACAACCCATGTCTACCTAAAAACCTGCATGGGAATGCTTACAGCAGCTTCTTCATAATTGCAAAAAAAGTGGGACGCAACCCAGATGTCCTTCAACAGGTGAATTTGTAATCAACTGTGGTACATCCATGCGATGGGGCATTACCCAGCGATAAAAAGAAATGAGCTATCAGGCTACAAAAAAGCATGGAGGAAAACCTGAAATGCAAACTGCGAAGAGAAACAAGTTCCATATGGGATGATTCCAACTATATGACACGCTGACAAGGTCACACGGCAGAGACAGTGAGAAGCTGAGTGTCTGCCAGAGGCCCGGGGGAGGGGAGAGGTGGAGCACAGGGCACTGGGGGGGCAGTGAAACTCTTCTGTGTAATGTGGGTGCATGACAGTATGCATTTGTCTGAACTCACGGGACTGCACCCCATGAAGAGTGAATCCTGATATAAACTATGGGCTTTAGTGAATAATAATGTATTGATATTGTGACAAATGTATCACAAACGCAATAGGAGAAATAATGTTCAGGGGTGGGGGGTGGGGGGGATATGGGAACTCTCTGTACTTTCTGTGCAATTGAAAAAAAAACAACAAACCAAACCCACTGCTTTCGAGCCGATTCTGGCTCATAGCGACCCTACAGGACAGAGTAGAACTGCCCCATAGGGTTTCCAAGGAGTGACTGGTGGATTCAAACCACGGACCTTTTGGTTAGCAGGTGAGTTCTTAACCACTGTGCCACCAGGGCTCCTTCTGCACAATTTGTAAACCTAAAACTGTTCTAAAAAAAGAAAAGTCTTTTTTTTTTTTTTTTAAAAAGAGATCCTTCTGGTGTGACGAGGTGGAGCAAAGGATGGTGTGGTAGGGCTCCAGGGAAAGGGTGGTCACTCAGGGTGGGGATCACAGTGTCCCTGCGAGGAGGTGGCTCCTGACCTGAGGCTCAGAGGATCTGTAAGCAGTGGCTGGGTGGGGGCTGCTGGGGCTCAGAGGTATGTGACAGGTGGTGGGGTGGCACCCACAAGCAGTGACTTGGCATTGGTACAGAGTGGGCAGCAGCAGCAGCTCAGGTATCTGAGGGTGTCAGGGTAAGGAGGTGGTCAAAGTGGGTGTGGGGAGTAGAGAGATGTCAGGGGTGGGGAGAAGGTTTTAGCCTCTCTTCTGGAGGTAGAACGGATGGGGCCGTGAGGGGCCAGGCCTTTAGACTATAATAGCTGCCATGGAGTCAGTTCCGACTCACAGTGACCCCGTGCGTGTCAGGGTAGGACTGTGCTCCATAGGTTTTCAATGTCTGATTTTTCGGAAGTAGATCGCCAGGCCTTTCTTCCCAGGTGCCTCTGGTTGGACTCGAACCTCCAACCTTTCGGTCAGCAGTTGAGCATGTTAATCATTTGCACCACCCAGGGACCCCTAATCAAAAAGACCAAGAAAAGTGACATCAGCTCTGGGCTTAGAGGCCCTGGGTGGGGACGAAGCGGGGCAGGAAAAATCATCCATACGACACCAAAAGGTCAACAATTACTCTAAAGCAAAGACGAGAAGGTAAGGGGGCAGGGAAACTAGAGTACCGGAAACAGAACAAGCAGAATGCAACTAAAGATAATGCTGACACATTGTGGAAAATGTAACTAATGTCACTGAACCATTTGTGTAGAAATTGTCAAATGGGAACTTAATTTACTGTGTAAACTTTCACCAAAAACACAATAAAATATTATTTAAAAAAATAATAATACATGTAAAAAAAAAAGGGGGGCCATGAAATCAAGGTTGAAACAGAGCTCAAGAACACTCTCCTTCTACCTGGTGACCTCAAAGCAGGAACTAAGAAGACGTCCCAGAGGCAGAACTTCAGCCTGTCTTCCTAAACAAACCCCAAACCCCAAACCCATTGCTGTGGAGTTGACGGTGACCCATGGCAATACCACATGTGTCAGAGTAGGAGTGGGCTCCACAAGGTTTTCAATGGCTGTAATTTTACAGAAGTAGATTGCCAGGCCTTTCTTGCCAGGCCTTTCTTCTGTGGCTCTGCTGGGTGGAGTCGAAGTGCTAACTTTTCAGCTAGCAGCTGAGTGCAAACTGTTTGTACCACCAAGGGACCTTGTCCTTATTAAGTAGGGTGACCATAGAAGTTATTGTCCAAATCGTACACTCAACAATGAGGAAAGGTGCTGTTCACTCTTATTCTGGAACAGCATGGAACCAGGGTCACCTTGCCTCTGTGGGAACTAGGCGTGGAGGGGACTCCTGCTTCCTGGGTGGGTAAGCAGCCTCCACCCCTGTGGACACACAGGAGAGCCCAGTAGGTGCTGTCCTAGGGCCCTGGAAGTGATTGCATGGACGGAAGTGCTTCCTTCTGGGACAGCCAGAGGGGGAGCTGGCTAGTCGCCACCCAGCCCGCCCACAGTCTCACACAGGGCCCCGGGCTGTGCCTTCCGGGTGGCAAAGGCGAGTGCCCGCTCCGCATGATGCCGGGCAGGAGCTCCACGAAGAAAGCCAGAGGCTGCGGAGGCACCCAGGGCTCCTGCAGTCTCCCCCAGGGCCGGTGACAGCCACTTACCCATGCAGGCTGTGGACAGAGTGAGGCTCGTAGGGGTACCTTCCCTCCTGGTGTCGCAGGTCAATCGGTAAGGGAGCGTGGAACGGCGGCAGGAGGTGCTGTGGCACTGTGGAGGGGCACAGAGAGACAGGACTTCAAAAACTTGCCCCCTCCTCTTAAAGCAATTTCCAAAGAGCTTTAACGCTTGATGAATTTCAGGGCCGAAGCAGCCCAGAACAGAGGCTCTGCGGTGCCAGCTATCACACACCCACGGAGGGGATAAATAAATAATCAAAGTCGTCCCAAGAAATCCTACATCTTCCACATAAAAGATCCCCAACCGTGCTCTTGACAAAGACAAGCAGCTAAGCGCTCTTTGAACTCATGAAGATTATAGGTAGGGCAGGGAGACCAGACTCATGAGCAAATCGGGGCTGACAGAGCCGACAGGCTCCGACCTTGCCAGCCCCTGGCCGGCCAGGCCTTGGCTGCACAGGACTTCAGTAGCTTCTGGTTGCAACATCTGCATGCAGCTGGCAATATTTACCTAGAACCATCAGTGAAGGCAGGGCAGGCTCTGGCAGCTGGAAAGGCCAAGCCACACCGGGTTGCCTGGCCCACCTTGCTGGCAACATCAAGCGTACCTCTATGTGGATCTGCTAATACTCCAGCTCTTATTATTAAATATTGACCCCAAGTGCAGTGGGGGTGCCCAGGATGAAAATGCAAGCGACTGACCATTTCCAGAGCTGGACCAACCTACCATCTGCACGTGGCCGGCCCTCGCCTTGCATGTGGCCTGTCCTCCACAAATCGTCATGGCAATTGTCGGACACTCTTTGCTTATTAAAAAAAAATTCCTGGGTGCCCTGGAGGCAAACATAATTACAGGCTTTAGGAGAACAAGGCTCTTTAAAAAGTAGTCAGACTGGGAAAAGGGCTTAGAAGTGGAGCTTTCTCAGTCAACTCTCAGTCAGGCTGCCAGCCACAGGCCAGTGGGAATCAATGTTGAGTCTGAATTTCTGAACGTGTGAAAGAAACGCAGATGGTTTGCTTGACATACATGCAGGTCAGCTGACTACCAGGCCTACTGTAATGAAAGCATAAAAATAACGCTGCTAACTGTTTCCGTACAGATTCTGTAAACACTATGAATTCTTAATGGGCAGGAACTTTTCTCCTGACATCTCAACTTTAGTTTTTACATATTCGATTTTATTTTTATAACGCCACAATACTCGCACCTTCCCTGGGGAGTGGGGGAAACAGAAAGCCTTGACTAAATTGGTTGAACAAACCCAAAACAAAAAACCCACTGCCATCAAGTTGATTCTGACTCACAGCAACCCTGCAGGATGAAGTAGAACTGCCTCGTAGGGTTTCCAAAGCTGTAATCTTTACGGAAGAAGACGGCCACATCTTTTTCCCATGGAGCAGCTGGTGGGTTCGAACTGCTGACCTTTGGGTTAGCAGATGAGCACTTAACCACTGTGGCACCAGGGCCCCTGGGCCAGACTCGGCCAATCTCAGATTGGAAGAGCAGCCGGCTGCCTGACAGGACACCAGTTAGCCTGTCCTATCCCTCTAGGCCCCTGGCACTCATTTTGGGAGCAGGGGATCACTGCAATGACCACCCGCTCCTCTCTCAGGGCTAGGAGTGCATGATCTCTCAAGAGGTGACACTGGGCGGCAGCAGTGACAGGGATGACTGGGGCTCTGGCGGCCCCGAGAGCAAGCCTGCCTCTCACCAGCTGAGTGACCGTGAGCAAGTGTCCTCATTTCTCTGAGTCTCCATCCCCTCGTCCGGAAGTGGACAACATAACTACCTGACATGGTGGCTATGAAGAGTGAAGCCGTCAATGATTTCATTCTACTTGGATCAACAATCAACGCTCATGGCAGCAACAGGCAAGAAATCACAGGATGTGTACAGATATGTGTACGCACGCATACAGACAGTTATAGAGGACACAGTTACAGACAACTTATCAGACATAACCAAACACCTTGCAAGACTGGTTTTCTGGGTTTGAAGGCTTAGGACCTTAGTCTCATGGGACAACTCAGTCAATTGGCACAGCACAGTTCACAAAGTTCATGTTCGGCATCCTAGTGAGGTGAGTAGCGTCTAGGGTCTTAAAAACTTGAGAGCAGCCATCTAAGATACAACTATTGGTCTCTACTCGTCCGGAGCAAAAGAGAAAGAAGGAACCCAAAGTTTCAGAGAAGAAACTAGTCTACAGGGTTAATAGCTCACACAAGCCATGACCTCATCTACGCTGAGACCAGAAGAAGTAGATGGTTCCTGGTTACCACTACCAACAATTCTGATCAGTGCCACAATAGATAGATCCAGATAGAACGGCAGAAAAACACAGAACAGAACTCAAATTCCTCAAAGTCCAGACTTACTGGATCAGGAGACTAGAGGACTCCCTGAGACTATCACCCTGAGACATTCTTTAAACCTTGAACCGAAACTATTCCCTGAGGTCACCTTTTAGCATAACAACAGATTCCACACAAAATAAAGGATATTACCCATAAGTACAGTGCTCCACTAAAAAACCATCTATATGAGACCAAACGGTCAACAGTTACTCTAAAGTAAAGATAAGAAGACAAGGGCACAGGGAAGCTAGAGTGCTGGGAATGGAACAACCAGAATGCAATTAAAGAGAATGCGGACACACTGTGAAAAGTGTAATCAATGTCACGGAGCAATTTGTACAGAAATTGTCAAATGGGAACCTCGTTTGCTGTGTAAACTTTCACTGAAAACGCAATAAAATATTATTTAAGAAAAAGAAGGAAAGAAGTCAAAACAGCAAATTGCACGGGGCAAATCTGCTGCAAAAGACCTCTTTACAATTTTGAGCAAGCTGAGATGTCACTTTGATGACTACGGCGTGGTGGGTCTGACCCAAGCCATGGTCTTTCCAACCACCTCGTATGCATGTAAAAACTGGACAATGAAAAAGCATGACAGAAGAAGAACTGATACATCTGAACTGCGGTGTTGGCAAGGAATATTAAATATGTGAAGAATATTCTGAACTGCCCAAAGAATGAACAAGTAAGTCTTAGAAGGAACACAACCAAAATGCTCCTTACAAGTGAAGACAGAGAGATTCTGGCTTGCCCACTGTCACGGATTGAATTATGTCCCCCCAAAATGTGCCTTATCAATTTGCCTGGGCCATGATTCCCAGTATTGTGTGGTTGTCCTCCATTTTGTGATTGTAATTTTATGTTAAAGAGGATCAGGGTGGGGTTGTAACACCCTTACTAAGGTCACATCCCTGATCCAATGTAAAGGGAGTTTCCCTGGGGTGTGGCCTGCACCACCTTTCATCTTACAAGAAATAAAAGGAAAGGGAAGCAGAAAGTTGGGGACCTCATACCATCAAGAAAGCAGTGCCGGGAGCACAGCGCTTCCTTTGGAACTGGGGTCCCTGCGTTGAGATACTCCCAGACCAAGGGAAGACTGATGACAAGGACCTTCCTCCAGAGCCGACAGAGAGAGAAAGCCTTCTCCTGGAGCCGGCGCCCTGAATTCGGACTCCTACCCTACTAGACTGTGAGACAATAAACTTCTCTTTGTTAAAGCTGTCCACTTGTGGTGTTTCTGTTAGAGCAGCCCTAGGTGACTAAGACACCTACTCTGGACATGTCATTGAGAAAGACCAATATCTAGAAAAGGACACCAAGGGTGGTAAATTAGAGGTTGATGAAAGCAACAACAAAACCCTCAGTGAGACAGACTGACACAATAGCCTCAAGAATGGACTCCAACATACGTCAGATCATGAAGATGGTGCAGACCAGGCCACGTTTCGCTCTGTTATACCTAAGGTCATCCCGAGTCGGAGCCGACTCTGCAACAATGAAGAGAAAAAGTTCACGCGGGAGAGGTTCTTAGCCCAGCACCTGTTCAGATGAGAAGCCCTCACAAATGTTACTACTATTGATGATAATTACTAGCAGTATTTGAAGCCCCCAAAGACCGCAATCCAACTATGACACCACCTACTAGCTGTGGGGCGTGGGACAAGTCGCTCCACACTCACTGCAAACCCCGGGGAGGGAGGAGGGCAGAGCCCTGTCTGCTTACACTCTGGACATAAACTGGGATTTCCTAAATCCCGGGGGAGTCAGCAGGGAAGTGGTATTCACCTTCCTAAATGTGTAGGGGAGCTTTTATTTATTTTTTAAAAATTTGTCCAAGTAGACCAGACTACTCTGTTGCTAGCAAAATGATAATGGTTTGCTTTTGTGTATTTCTGAACCTTTCCCTGCACACCCAGGAGCCCCCTGAGGCAGCCGAGGTAGGTTTTATTGCACCCATTTCACAGATGAGGAAATGGAGGCAAATCCAAGGCTCTGGACAGCCCAGCCCTGCTGAACACTCAGAAGCTGTTCTTTTCTCAGGAAAGGAAATTGAGGCTCAGAGATGAGAACGATGATCGGGCAGCATGTGCTTGGTGTTTAACGGTCTCCCCCGCACTCAGCCCCACAAGGTGCCCAGATGGTTCCTGGAGCCCAGCCAGGCCTGGCCCACAGCAAGCTTCTGGTCACCGGTGTTCTAACTGAATAGCACACAGAGGCCCCTGGGTAATGCAAGCGGTTTATGCTCGACTACTAGCCTAAAGGTTGGCAGTTCAAACTCACTCAGCAGCACCTTGGAAGAAAGGCCTGGCGATCAGCTTTCATAAGATTACAGCCAAGAAAACCCTACGGAACAGTTCCACTCTGTAACACACGGGGTCACCATGAGTCTGAGTAGACTCAACAGCAACGAGCTGGGTTTGTTCTTTGTCCTTAGCATGCAGTATTGCCACAGGAGGATGAATGGTGCCCGAGATCAGCCAGTAGATAGAAGAGCAAGGATTCAAACCCAGAATGCCCCATGCCCAGAACTGTCTCCCTGCTCCAAGAGGAGGTCCAAACTATCCATCTCGCAGGAGAGAAGTCTGGGAGCAGCCACTTCAGGAATATTCACTCACTCATTCATCCAACCACTTTATCACGGGCTTGCTATGCAGCAGGGGCTGTCCTAGGCCCTGGCAGCGCAGTGATGAGCAGGCAGCCCTTCTGCCAGTGTGGAGCAGATGGCAAAGAAGCCAT